GTGGCAAAGTTACGTACAACTTCAACATGGGGCACACACCGCAGAGATCTGCAATAAAATTATTGTGGCGTGTGACAAATTGTGGCAAAATTACGTACAACTTTGTTGTCATTTGCTGCTCAACATGTCTGTGCAACCATGTGCAATGCGTAATATGTCCATGCAGCAGCGCGCGATGTATGTCACAATAAGCCATATCGGAAAGTCCCCGCCGCCATACTAAGATCAGATAAGAGAGGTGATAACATCGTACTTCAATTCACGAGTGCGTTTTTGTTTACAGAAACAATTACAAATACGATTGTGGTCATTTGGGATATTTTGCAATGATTGTGTTAATGCAAAAACTAAAAACGCACAAGTGTTTACATTAATCATGTACTTTCCTAAGCGCGCCTCGGCCATTTATACCCCTTTTTCTATGACCTAAATAACAGAGCTGGACCTTCCGATATCACTTCAGATTTATTTGCTTCAATTATATTCGTGTTCATAATGTTGTGAATGTATAGATTGACTTACACAACTAGATGTATTACACTCAATGCTCTCAATTAGTTTGTGTTTTTTTAACTCTGTTCGAGAGTGTGTATCGTGTTATTACCTCCGCAACGAAGTTGCAGGGAGGTAATGTGACCCCTCTCGTGTGATGTTCGTGTGTGTGTTCGTGTGTGTGTGTAGCCAGCAGCGAGGCAGCTGTTATACGCTGTAGCGTTGGCGCGATCGATTCAGCACCAGCTGGCCTTAGAACGTCCAAGCAGCAGCAGCTCGCCTTAGAACGTCCAGGCAGCAGCAGCTCGCCTTAGAACGTCCAGGCAGCAGCAGCATTTTTTTTACTTTAAAGAAAATTGACAATAAAATGTTTAGGGTCGCTGGGAATAAATAGGGTCAGTCGGAAAACCGTAACCACGCCTATATTTTGTTTTGGCCTAACAGGTACGTGTGAGGATGTAGTGGTTTTCAAGCACATTCTAGAACAGGATCTGGGATTGATTGCTTGCTTACTGGGGCGTTTACTTGTGACATTCTAGAGATGTGTTTTAACGAGACGATTATAATGATTATTTTTAATGCAACATTTTCATGAGCTTGATAAAATTATCTAATAACGCAACCTGTAACTGGGGCGATTTAGCCCACACTATTTTTACAAGTACGTGTGTGGGGGTAGTGGTTGTTAAAAGCACATTCTGGGACAGGATCTTGGATTGATTGCTTGCTTACCGTGAGCTGTTCGGAACCTGCGACATGCCCTCCCCGGCGATCGCGACATTTCCCGTGCTGGCGCCGCTCACGAATCGGCAGTGCGGGAAATGCTTTGTGTGCTCCTCTATGGGCACGTCGTTGCGCTCCCAGCCCTGCAGCCTGCCGCTGCAGAAGATGCACTTGACGCGGTCGCCTGACCCCGTGTAGTAGAAGCCGGCTCGCGCCAGCTGCTCCGGTCTCACGAAGCTCACGCTCCACCTCGCAAACGTCCGCAGACGCTCGCTCTCTTGCAGCAGCCGCTCCGCGTCGGTGAGCGCCGGCGCCACCTGCTGGCGCACGTCGGCAGCGACGGGCATCGGCGCGGCGACCGGCAACTCGTCGGAGAGTCTCGACTGCGAGGCGACGTTCGGCGGGGGCGCCACCGTCGGCGCCGCGCCGGGCTTCGTCGTCGGCGCGATGTTCTCGTAGCTGCTCGACGACGACGGCGGAGGAAGCTGCACGCCGCAGCTACCGCTGCGGATGTGACCGCGCAGGAACGACAGATCGCACGGCGTCGACTGCTGCAGCTCGGGGCTCCAGCGGCAGCCGGCCGCCGCTGCCGCCGCCGCCGTCGCGCCGCACCACGGCTGGAAGTTCGTGCCGCCCTGCTCCGCGGCGTAGCCCTGCGCCGCGTCGTCCGCGTCGCCGCGACGCTGCTCCCCCGTCTGCTGCACTCGCTGCGTGTTCACCTCGTCGTAGCCCCACGGCGGCGACGCAGCCTCGTCACGCGGCGGAGCGACGGTGCGGCTGCGGGGGCTGAGGGATGACGGCAGCGGGCTCGCGGAGCGCGCGACGGGCGAGCCGAGCGCGTCGGAGAGCTGCGTGCTGCTGCGGCGCACCAGCGGCACGTTGCTCGTCTCCGCGCCCGAGATGAAGTCGCAGTTGGGCACGAAGCGGAGGTGCTTGCCCGCCGCCGAATCGCCATACTGCCAGCCGCAGAGCTCGGCGCCGCAGCAGAAGCAGCGCACGCGGTCGTCGCCGTCGCCGGCGTAGAAGAAGCCGGCCTTGGCGAGTCGCTCGGGACTGACGGGCGCCGAGTTCGGCCACACGCCCTTGAACGTCCTCAGCCGCTCGCTCTCGTAGCTGAGGTCGGGCGAGCCGTCGGGCCGCAGGTGTGTGGGGCCGTCCGCCAGCAGCACCTCGTACTCATCACTCAGCGATGTCTCGTCCACTTCCATGGTTAGGATGCAAGCGTGCTGCGCAACTTCAACATGGGGCACACACCGCAGAGATCTGCAATGAAATTATTGTGGCGTGTGATGGAGTGTGGCATAGTTACGTACAACTTCAACATGGGGCACACACCGCAGAGATCTGAAATGAAATTATTGTGGCGTGTGATAGAGTGTGGCATAGTTACGTACAACTTCAACATGGGGCACACACCGCAGAGATCTGAAATGAAATTATTGTGGCGTGTGATAGAGTGTGGCATAGTTACGTACAACTTCAACATGGGGCACACACCGCAGAGATCTGAAATGAAATTATTGTGGCGTGTGATAGAGTGTGGCATAGTTACGTACAACTTCAACATGGGGCACACACCGCAGAGATCTGCAATGAAATTATTGTAGCGTGTGACGGAGCGTGGCAAAGTTACGGACAACTTCAACGTGGGGCACACACCGCAGAGATCTGCAATAAAATTATTGTAGCGTGTGACGGAGCATG